CTCCCATACAGGTATCATAAACACACCTTCAAGGAATATAGCATGCCCTCACTTACAGTCAGCACAACAAAACCATTGGCTGTAAACACACTCATAGCCAAGATTTGCAGAGGGGTCTTCCAATCTCCACCATTTACAGCATGGCACCAAACACACACATTGGTATTGTCACAAGGAATCTTCCCTTAAACAAAGACTTATTGGTAACACACACCTCCGCTACCCCAAGTCTCAACTCCCTCATACCCTCCGAGGATTTTTCTTACTATACAACACCATTGATCTACCTTGACAGCTATCACTCAAGCATGGGTTGAAGCTTGATTAAGTAAGACCAATATCATCAACGCAGTAAACGGCTACCATCTACCCTACACACTGGCACTTACATGGCATAAATTGGGCAATCCTTTCCCCGCTCAACTTTCGAGCTACAGATTAGCCTACTATCGATATTCGCAGATACTCTGTGCTGGTTATGATAACATATCCAGAGGCCTTACAGTCATACACTATCTAGAAGACTTCTTGTTAATCAAAGAAAGCATATTTTTCACTAGAAGCCTCACGGCAGCTTAGTCTGGTTGACCTCTTGGGCGTCCCAGTACCCCATAAGAAACAGAAGGCCCAGACACTATCTTCACATTACTGGGCATATGACTATATTACTCGGCATCCATACACGCAAGTTACCACAAGACAAATAGGGAACATTCTCAACTACATCAATCACTACCTCCTGCTTAGTACTTACAACTGCAAGGAACTACGATCCCTACCAGGTTCCTTAATTTTGCCATGCTTTCACATCCAGAGTACTTTCCCCTTTTTTCCACACTTCCAACATGACGATCAGAGGAGGTGCCTAGACACCTCAGCAGCAGCAGACCTGCACATGGGGGGGGGATTTCTTAACCACTTGGCATGGTAAAAGCATGTTCCTTCCAGGATTGTCTGACACTTCTCCAACCAGATGGTCAGACGCAGCGTATACCACGGGTTTGGCAGCGATCTACCGGGAACAATTGCTTTGGGGCTGTTGGCCATGGCATCCAGGTTTGGAAATTTTTCCACCACTTCAGCCCCTTTGGGAGATCTACCCCATTGTAGCAGCTGCTGTGGCATGGGGTAAATCATGGTCAGGGTCATCAATCCGTTGTTACTCAGACAACTAAGCACATATCATATCATCAACAAACGCCACTACTCATCCATAAGTTCATGATGTTTCTGGGGAACTCACTTGGTTGGCCACTTATCACATTTCACTTTCATGTACCAGACGGGGGTATACATCCCTGCCGACAACTGTCTCATTTATATTCCAGGCATGTTCATCATACGCTTCCTACAGCCGCCCATACAGTCACGTCCACTCTTTCGTTCCAGAGACAAAATCATGGATTAGACATACTCATGCAGCATAGCATGCACTATCCCACCTAGCACTTTCGTCCCATACTTGTAGAACGCATAACACAGCTTTTCACCTGGCTTAAAGAATCTCATTGGAACACGACATAGCTCAACCTGTGTCACAAAATTTCTCCTAAGTTTTGCTTATTTTTGCCACCTTAAACTTAAACTATCTCATACACCATTAATTATATATTTTACAGGCATTCAACAACACATGATAACCTATGGCCAAAACTACCATAAACTTCATGCTATCATACCAGAAAAGAATATACTCAGAGGTTTTCAGGAATCCATTCCCCCACGTTCCTCTCAGAGATTACCAATAGCCATCCAACTGTTCATCCTTATCGGACCTATTAGATCTACAACCATTCAATTATACTACCAAGTCGGCCATTACCAGCCATGCACATTGCCTTTTATGCCTTTCTCAGGCCAGAGAATCCACTACCATCACCACCACTCAGACAGATCATTGTCTTCAACGATCCCACGTACGTAAACACATATATCATTACCTATTGGCTCTACCACATTCCGAAATGAGTCAACATGCACCAACAGTAGAGATAACATACTATCCTACCCACAACAAATGGTGCCCACTTTCGGTCCTAGATTCCTACCTTCAAAATCCTTTCATGAATAAAATACTGTAATGCATTTAAGGAAATGTCTGGTTAATTTGTATATATTTGTTGACTGTATTAAATCTTTGATTATTCATTTTTGCCCTCTTTATTTACAGGCCTACCGTATCGTCGGTATCGGCACACCACAACCGACTTGCTCCCTTTACACTATCCTAAGCTTATGCTGGATCCTTACTCCATATACGGCTATTTTGCCCCTTACACAAGTATTAAGGCAGTTTTGCCTGTATTTGTGGGAGGGGCTTAAATTAATTCACTCCCCTATATAAGGGACACCCCTTACCTGACTCATATCGCTTGAGGTCAGCATCAGAATGACCCTCCCACCCACTCCTCATTTCAACACTTTCTCTTTTCTTTCCATTTACTTTACTTTCTTACTCCTTGGTGGGCCCTCTTTATTTACAGGCCTACCGTATCGTCGGTATCGGCACACCACAACCGACTTGCTCCCTTTACACTATCCTAAGCTTATGCTGGATCCTTACTCCATATACGGCTATTTTGCCCTTTACACAAATACTAGTTGTGAATCCTTATGTGCGAGATAAAAAGATTTTAATAATACCAACAAATGGAATAATCTTGATGTCCTGGAAATGCGTTCCACCTTGGTTTGCGGATATGACGTCATCGGGAGCGGACGGAAAAGGCATGCCATGTGAATGAACTGATTGTGAACTATTTACAGCTGTAATAGGAGGTATATAAGAAGACACCATTCATAATGAAAATCGGAATTGGAAGAAGGCTTTAGGAAATAGCCGAAACGTGTATGCTGTTGTATTTATAATTATATACCTGTTTTTTATTTGTGCTTTTAATTAGGGTTACTTCATAGATAGTGCTTGGGTGTGTTTTTACCTTAAGCACCATTCTTATAGTGCTCTTTTACCTTTTTGTTCCAATGAAACTTTTTTCCTGGATTTTTTTGTACTTTACATCCTGACAACTGGATCTGTTGGCCATCAGTGGCACCCTTTGGGCATATTATACAGAAACTGAGATGGCTCTGGATCATGTGAGTGAGATTCTATTCCACCCTATTGGATATTTCTGTTTACAGGTCACACTTTGGTTGTGTATTTCTCTTTATAGGTTTTTCACACCTTGTATGTGACATCAAGATTATTCCATTTGTTGATATTATTAAAATATTTTTATCTCTCACTTAAGGATTCACAACTAGTATATATATTTTATTTTACCCCACGCAAATGTCTAACATAAGTTGCCATCAACTTATTCATTTCCCCCTGCTCCTGACCACTGCCTTGGGATCCCTAGCGTGGCACCATTGTATCCATGGGATCATCTACGACCATACGACAACCACGTCAGGGACCAGCTGTCTCAACCTATCCATAACACTTTTCATCCCTGTAATTAAATCCCTTCCTGAAACAAGCCCCAAATCATTCCTCCTGGCATGAATCAAAACTATAAAAAATACAACATGTGGGGAGATACTTAATATAATTGCCACCACGCTTGTGGGTGCTATTCCAAAAAGGTACTCCCTTAAATACCAATAAAGCACATATTCAAAAAAAGGAAAGGAATGCACACCAACTAACACAATAATATATATCTAAATATATTTATTATAATACAAATCCAAATCTTACATATAAAATGTAACAGTGACCAAAAAAGGCAAAAAAGTTAAACAGTATATTTACCAAATTCGACAAGCCTATAAGGGCAGAAACACGAGTCACAAACAATCCCCCAACGTTTCGGCTCCTCCTGGTAGCCTTTATCAAGGGTAGTTATATCACAACATCATCCAAGAGACTATTATATACACATAAACAAACTACTTACAGCTGATGGCCATCAGTGATGTCACAGAGAGCCGAGACCGGAAGTGACATCATCACTTCGGATCATAGCCCTATATGTAAAGCACAATAGCAATAAATACATTATACATACACAATATTGTTCCCAGACCAATTCTATCATTGGTATAAAGATCTCCTATTATTGTATACTCCATCATTGTCCTCGTAAGCATAAATATGAACGCGCATGCGCAATGCAAACATAAATATAGACGGTCGCCATACCATCTCCTGGCATCCATCCATTGGCACACTCCATACTCCCCAACGAGAAAACACATCCCCCAGCAGGCAACCCAGCAAGCTCACTAGACATAACAACATCATGTGTGCAATAACTTGACCAAAAAAGGCAAAAGCGCACTCATCTTGCCACAGCCGGTTGATCTCTTTCCAGCTCCCCTCTAACGGAAGCCTCCGTGGTTCACACCTAACAGAGAGTCACTTCAAATAAAGGGCTAACCCGCCCGCGCATGCGTTTCCCCAAAAATAGAGAACAATACCTACAACATGATAGCACGCCCACCAAATCTTAAAGGGAAATCGCACAAATGCAAAAATCTATGATAATTTATCATAATGTGCATATAAATAGTCTCATAGTATAGCATAAATTCATAAAAAACTATACATAAATATTGACAGTGAAAATCACCTCCACCATAATAGCAAAACACCAAAAAATAGTGTACTATACTAAACTAATGCTTATTCATCCATATCATATATACAGAACATACATTCAGCAACTTGCTGAACGGTCAGGTCATTCCCAAAAAAAGGGAAACTCAATACTAGAGAATCCATCCATCATATGTAGTAGATAATTATATATGTTCCTTCACTCAAGCCTTATACATGTAATCCTTATATCAATATCAGTTCACCCTATTAATTATACAGCATTTTAGTAATATAAAGCTTCTTCTTAAATGTTAACAAGTATTCATTCACAAACATATACAAATCAAAAACAATCAAAGATATGAAGGTATCCAATAGATCAAATCTTCGTCGTCCAATCGTAGATCCAATAAATAAGTCCAGATCCTGATTATATCCATTCACCTTGTTGGACGTACCAATGGGATAAATATCCACAAAAGAGATCGCACTCCATCTCTGATCTAGTACACACTACCAACCGGGCACCCATTGTATTAAGTATCCAAATGGAAATCCATACGCAATCTAGACAGAATAAACATCAATTAAAAACAATATCAATGATACAAACACTACTCAGGCAGGGTGGATAAGTCAACTTCTCCACACGAGGCTACAATAAAGGAGAGAGATCCCGTTCTTCGTTCAGACCCTTAGGGAATAGAACCTGCAATTCATAAATCCAAAATAATTCACGCTGCTTCAACAACATTTCCCTAGATCCACCTCTACTCAGAGGTTTCACTACCTCTAGAATCAAGTATCTTAATTGTGACACCATATGTCGCATCTCCACAAAATGTCTAGCCACTGGATATTGAATCTTTCCAGTCCGAATACTACTCTTATGTTCCCCTATCCTAATGGTGAATTTCCTCGTGGTTTCCCCAACATAGGCTAAGCCACAAGGGCATTTTAACATGTAGACTACAAATTCTCATTGACAATTGCAAAAATCCCGAATAGGATATTTCTTCCCAGACCTAGGATGGAGAAAGGAATCGCCCAGAATTACCCCATTACAATTCACACAATGTCCACATCTGTACATACCAACAGGCATTCTAAGCCACAATTCCTTAATCCCCATCTTTCCTTGGACTTCCACATTCCGCATTAAATGATCGCGAAGATTTCTGTGCCTCTTGAAAGAAAACAAAGGTTTCTCATTAAAACAAATCCTAACTTTGGGATCAGATTGTAATATATTCCAATGCTGGTGTACAATATGTTTAATCTCCTTCGAATGTTCAGAATAGGTGGTAACACATGGGATCCTCATGTTCCTATCCCTAACTCTTTTAGTTAGAAGTTGTTCCCTTGCCAACAATCTAGCCTGGTCCTTGCATTCCATCAAAATCTTCTTCTCATATCCCCTTAAGGTAAATGCCTGCACTAATTCGTCTGCCCGTCTATCATAATCTGTGTCCCGTGATGTAATTCGTCGGGTTCTAATAAATTGTCCATATGGTAATTTTTGCAAAAATTGTGGTGGATGAAAGCTATCAGCATGTAAATATGACACACGGTCAGTAGGCTTCTGATAGAGATCAAAGCTCAATTGTCCTCCACTTACCTCCATAGATACATCCAAAAAGTGCATTTGATGCCTATTATATTCTATAGTGAAAGATATCGTGTCCAATTTATTATCCAATCTCTCCTTAAAGCAGAGCAACTCATCAACCGTACCTGTCCAAAAAAAGAAGATGTCATCTATATAGCGTACCCAATTCAACACAAATCTGGTAAAAAGTGGATCAGGGTATACAAATGCATCCTCAAATGCTGCCATAAAAATATTGGCATATGTGGGGGCCACATTGGACCCCATCGCATTACCCTGTACCTGCAAGTAAAACTTGCCTTCAAACGTGAAGTAATTCTTATGTAATACCAGTGTCAATAACTCCAACAAAAAGTCTCTATATGCTTCACTAATTTCCAGAGCTTGCATCGCTCCAAATACTGCCTCAATGCCTTCCTCATGCGGGATAGACGTATACAGACTATTAATGTCCATAGTGCATAGTAATGCTCCTTCAGGAATCATACTCACACTTTCTAGTTTCTTAATGAAATCTGTCGTATCCTGCACAAATGAACGCATATTAGAGACCAACGATTGCAAGTGTATATCAACAAATTTGGATAGTGGTTGCAAAACCGATCCACATCCTGACACTATAGGACGACCAGGTGGACACCTCAAATTCTTATGTATCTTCGGGAGCAAGTAAATAAAAGGGATCTTTGGGTGTTCCGTATTCAAAAAATTAAAATCCCTTTTCTCAATTAACTCTTTCTCCAAAGCCACACCCGTAATTACCTTAATTCGTTCCTTTAACTCACCTGTAGGATCTTGCTCCAAGATTCTATAATGGCTTTCATTAGTCAATTGGCGATTCATTTCAGCCACATATTCACTCGTGTTCATCACGACCAAAGCTCCTCCCTTGTCAGCAGGTCTGATAGAGATGGTAGTATCCCTTCGTAGTCCCATAAGTGTAGCATATTCATGTCTACTCAAATTCGACCTTCCCTTCTTTTTCCAGTTAATTTTATCCATGTCCATTTGACATAATTTAATGAATGTTTCAACACTCGCATTGATGGAAGGGGGAAGAAACGTGCTCTTAGGTTTACACTTGTGCCTGTCAAATTTGGAAGACTCAGCCATATTAACCCCTTCTTGAACTATAGGGGTATCCTGTAACTGAAAAAAACTTTTTAAGCGTATTGTCCGAAAAAAACGTTCCATCTCTATATCCATAGTGAGCTTATCACCACTAAAGGTGGGTACAAACCCAAAACCTTTTTCCAAGAGACTCACCTCGGCTTGAGATAAAACCCTATCAGAAATATTCACTACCAATGTTTCCGCTGTTGTCTCATGCGTCCCGGATATCTCCTCTTGGGTTCGGTCACAATTGGAACCACTCTGTGTACCTCTCCTCGGCCTCTTTCCACGTCTCCTCTTGGATGTTCCCCTAAAAAAACACTTTTTCCAAATTCAGATTCCCCAGAAGACACCTCAGGACCCGACACACTAGTATCCGAATTGTCTTGTTTACGCCTTTGAAAGTAACGCCCAGGACGCGATTGCCGCCAAGTATACACTTTATCCTCCAAATAATCTACAGTATCCCTCCGAAATTTATCCAATTTCTTCTCTAGAATCTCTTCTCTATACTTAGGTAATTTAGCCGATATTGTGGCAAGCTTCCCTTCAACAATCACCTTATCCTCAACTTCAGCCAATTTCTGCTTCGTATCAGAAAGCGACTTCTCAAATTCTGATAACTCTTGCTGCAAACCTTCCACTGTTAGCGTTATAAGGTCCAAACTACATTTATTCAATATTTTATACCAATTTCTACAGAACTCTTTATTGGATTTACAAAAGCTAAGTCTAATATTCAGCCGTAGCCCACGTGGGATCCTTTTTACTCTTAAATATTCAACCAGAGTCTCAGAGTGTAACTGATAATTAATCAATTTCTTTTCCAGATATTCAATCCGCCTATATAAAGACGTCTGATCAGTCACAAACACACTCTCCTGTGTACTATATTTAGCAATAATTGCATCCACCTCTGCCTGCGTATAGACACGTGTTTCTGCCCTCTTGTCACTAATGCCACCAATGTCAGCAAACGACATTATCTCTCAACACACACAAGGGACCAATAGTCATAAAAAATACAACATGTGGAGAGATACTTAATATAATTGCCACCACGCTTGTGGGTGCTATTCCAAAAAGGTACTCCCTTAAATACCAATAAAGCACATATTCAAAAAAAGGAAAGGAATGCACACCAGTTATTGCACACATGATGTTGTTATGTCTAGTGAGCTTGCTGGGTTGCCTGCTGGGGGATGTGTTTTCTCGTTGGGGAGTATGGAGTGTGCCAATGGATGGATGCCAGGAGATGGTATGGCGACCGTCTATATTTATGTTTGCATTGCGCATGCGCGTTCATATTTATGCTTACGAGGACAATGATGGAGTATACAATAATAGGAGATCTTTATACCAATGATAGAATTGGTCTGGGAACAATATTGTGTATGTATAATGTATTTATTGCTATTGTGCTTTACATATAGGGCTATGATCCGAAGTGATGATGTCACTTCCGGTCTCGGCTCTCTGTGACATCACTGATGGCCATCAGCTGTAAGTAGTTTGTTTATGTGTATATAATAGTCTCTTGGATGATGTTGTGATATAACTACCCTTGATAAAGGCTACCAGGAGGAGCCGAAACGTTGGGGGATTGTTTGTGACTCGTGTTTCTGCCCTTATAGGCTTGTCGAATTTGGTAAATATACTGTTTAACTTTTTTGCCTTTTTTGGTCACTGTTACATTTTATATGTAAGATTTGGATTTGTATTATAATAAATATATTTAGATATATATTATTGTGTTAGTTGGTGTGCATTCCTTTCCTTTTTTTGAATGAATCAAAACTATATTAGGTACTTGACATTCATTAAAGGGACACTATAGTCACCAGAACAAATACAGCTTATTGAATTTGTTCTGGTGAGTAGAATCATTACCTTCAGGCTTTTTTGCTGTAAACACTGTCTTTTTAGAGAAAATGCAGTGTTTACATTTCAGCCTAGTGATAACTTCACTGGTCACTCCTCAGATGGGTGTTAGAGATCCTTCCTGGGTCATGGCTGCCTAAAATGCATCCAAACATTCCAAACTCCTCCCTATGCATGCAGACACTGAACTTTCCTCATAAAGATTCATTGATTCAATTCATCTCTATGAGGAGATGCTGATTGGCCAGGGCTGTGTTTGAATCATGCTGGCTCTGCCCCTGATCTGCCTCTTTGTCGGTCTCAGCCAATCCTATAGGGAAGCATTGTGATAGGATCAGGCTATCACTTCTGATGATGTCAGCAGACTGCTTGTTTTCTTTTTGTTGAGGCAAACAGCATGCAGATCTACAGCTTCTGGCTTGAATACAGTAAGATTTTGCTATATTTATGGAGGGGGGCTAGATGGTGGTTTTAACACTATAGGGTCAGGAATACATGTTTGTGTTCCTGACCCTATAGTGATCCTAATTCTCCTAAAAGCTCAAAACAAACCCCCTGCCAACTGAAACCCCAGAAACCAAACCACACAAGTTGGACTGTTAAGCGAGGAATGCCCAGCTGCATGCCTTGATGAAAATCTGTGGCTCTCTGATGTGCCCAGTACACATACGAGTCTTCCATTTACCAAGCAATCCAACCTATGGGAGAAAAACATATTATCAACAGGAACAGAAATAACCAGAAATAACCACCCTTACATATACTTAAACTAAATGGTTGGTCCTCACATAGGATTTGAATTGTACTGATTCTCACTTCGCAATCTTCTTAACCAGGTCATCCCCTAAACCCAGCCAAATTGCCTCCATTGCAGCCCCAGTACTGAACGAGTGTGTACAGCGATGGAACCAAACCCATACGCCCCAAGGCCAACCGAAAGACCTTAAGGAACCGAAACTTTGACAACGAACCACCGGCATGCAGTAAAAAAGAGCCACCTACCTCTGAATGCACCACCTGAAAAGCCAAAGTACAAGAGACTGGACAAACCGCCAACCCTGGCACAGAAAAAAGTGTTACCGCGGTACCTTTCCCAAAAACGTCTGTTTTAGACCGGCGTAAATGAATCACTACCCGACTCAACCTCCGAACACTGTAATCCACCTTCACCTAAACGGTTGCTGCTGTCCCCGCCGTCCTTACTACGAACCAGGTCCCCGCCGACTAACCTCTGGTGGTCGCGATCCCGGAGACTGCCTGAGAGCCCACGCAGTATCTCTCCGGCAGATTCACCACTCCCGGGGTCCTTGCGATCACATGGCCGGAATGGCTATCTACAGCTCCGCCCGCCTGCAGGGGGACTGCCTGGCATGTCATGCAGTCCCCATTGTGTCTGTTAGAAAGTTTTTTTAAAATAAATCAATTTAAAAAAAAATATATATATATATATATATATATTTTTTTTTTTTTAAAGTTAAAACCAAATTATATACATGTGTAATTTGTTCTAACTGTGTATATATATATATATATATATATAAATACATGAAAAATTTTGTTATAAATATATATGTATATCTAATCTATCTATCTATCTATAATTTTTCACACACTAACAAAAACGCTAACTATATTATAGTCCTAATCCAAAGAAGAAAAAGAGGGATGCTAGGAGTCGTGTCCTCCAACCCAACAGCAACCTACTCCTGATGTCCTAACACATTTTCCTCAGCAATGAGTACTGCTGACACGTCTGTCCCCACTGCTTTTATCGCCACTACCAGAAGTACTATAACTATTAGTATTTTTCAGCTTCAGGTTAATGAGACTAGAAGGTCTGTTGCGTCCACTTCACAACCCAGGAGGCAAATGTTTTTATCTGCCTTCATGTGTTGCAATTGGTGACTCAAAGTCTCAAGTAGAAAAAGAACCAGTAGTTGCTGCAGCAGGGTCAGCTAGGCCCACAGTTAGCAGCAGCATGTTTGTAAAGCATGCAAGGCTTCACCTAACACAGACTGAGAGTAAAGAATCAGAAAGAAATAGCATGGTAGTCCTAAACAATATCTGGCAAATATTTAAAAAAAAAAACAGAAAAAGATGCTTGCAATTTATCCTCATAGTATGTAAACTAATATATTTACTGTAGCGGAGCGCTAATTTAACATAGACCTTTCTCCGCTGGTATTCCAATAGTTACTCAGGATCAAGTAGGTTATCATAAGAAGAACAACATAAGTAGTAAAAAAAGCATTTGCTGCCCATGTGCGTTAAAGCCAGGATGAGGAGGAGGAGCTTCGACCCAGAGCCGAGGGACATCGGCACTGGGATAAGGTGAGTAAATAAAGGGTTTTTAACCCATTATTGACCATAGAGGGGGGCAGGTGAGGAAGGGGGAGGCAGGGGGAGCGACAGTGCCTGAAATACAGCTTTGTATTCCTGGCACTATAGTATCCCTTGAAGGTTAGTCCTTATTCAGACAATTTAAAAAAGCACAAATACTAAATTTAGAAAGAGTGTTTATAAATTAATAAGTTAATAAATTAAATGTCTCAAGTAGCTGAACATCCTTTTTAAATTGTAACTGGGGATGTAAGTGACACAAGTCTATAAAATATACCTACCTATCCTATTTAAGGGACCACTATGCCTTAAAATAGGGACAACCAATCTTTTATAGCTATCCATTAAAAAAAAGCAATTTACCCATACACACAATCATATGCACTGATATTCACCTATGTGTGCAGTGTAGCTCCCTAATTTGCTATCCTAAATAGGGCAATCCCACATAAGGGTACACAATTAGAGGCGCTGTCTACAAAAACAGTGCTCTAATTTGGTATCCTAAGTAGGGCAATCCCACATAAAGGTACCAAAGTAGAGATGCTATATACTAAACAATGTCATGTAGGGAATAATGACTGTGTGAATGTAGAACACTTTCGGACAGATTTTGTTTAGTTCTGAAATGATAATTACATCATTTTGCTAAAACAATTTTCCCTATGTACATGCATAGAAATCTGCATTTCCCCTTTCTTTTTTTTGTCCCACATACTCTATGTTACATTTATCACATTTAATTAGATACTAGTAGTACATACTAGGCAACTCCTTTTGTTAAGCACTTAGTCAGACTTCAGATTTGAAATGCCTGTACTGTGACTGATGATGAAAAAATGTTACCCTTTTTAACAAAAGTACATTCCTTGCATCTTTTTTTACCGCATTTGAACATATCCTGACAATAAAGCCATGTTTAATTTGTTCATCTCTATCAATGAAGTGGCTAGGCGAAAGAAGGAACTTAATGATCTTGCATTTTTGGCACTGCTTCTTACTTCATTTAATTTACTAAATTCTCTATAAAAATCATCATACACAGGACTGGAAGATGCTTTAGGATAGTTTTTTTGTTTTTTTTAATTAATGTAAGAACCATTTAAAACTGTTCTTTTTAGTTTATTTTCTCCAAAGAGAAAATTCCTCTCCCTATTCTTTGTCACATTATAACCCTGCTTAATTAGCTGGGGAGAATATCTTCTCTCATACGCCTGGTCAATCTTGTTGATTGTACTTTTAAAAATCTTTCAGGGTTGAGCAATTACTCCTCAACCTAATGAATTTACCTCTAGGGATAGCTATGAAAGTATGGTGAGGATGGCAATTGTTAGCCATTAACCCCTTCACTACCAAGCAATTTGCAAAAAGGCCAGGAGTAATTCTCCATGTCAACTAAAATTGTGGGGAAAAAGTGATGCATGTCCCTTTAAAGGTGAACTCACTAATGACATAGAAGTCGGTATTCCCAACAAACCAAAAGTAGAGGGAAGAGACAGACACAAACTTGGAACAATGGTTGAAAATCCAAGCCCTTTGCAAGCTGTCTTTATTGGCAATCAATCCTTATAAAATGAGTTACATCTGACAGGTTTTGTCCATTTAAACAAACGCAATCATAGACACATATCCAGTGTATGTCCCTTAAAAAAGATGAAATGTTGAACACTTGAATCCAAGAACCACCCCAAATTGGAGTTAATCCTTCACAGGTACCAGGTAAATTACAAATATGTGAAACAATAATATCTATGTTAAAGGG